CTCGATAGGAAGCCAGAGGGAACAGTGGAGGGGCAGAGAATGGCCCCCAAACCAAGAGCCCAGAGAGCAATGTCCCCCTCCCGGGGGTGGGGGCACAGCTGGCGCGGGGGTGCGGCTAAGTGGGGTGTTAGCCTTGTCCTGGGGGGGGCGAGTGTGCGTGGTGGGCGGGAGGCGGCTGGAGGAAACTGCTCCCCACGCGGACCACAGGGGCCCCGCGGCGGCTGGGGGGAGGTGGGCGCGTCAGAATGAGATGGGGCTTGGGCCCCTTTTAAGGCCAGGGGAGCCCTCCCAGGCCCCCTCTATAGGAAGCCAGAGGGAACAGTGGAGGGGCAGAGAATGGCCCCCAAACCAAGAGCCCAGAGAGCAATGTCCCCCTCCCGGGGGTGGGGGCACAGCTGGCGCGGGGGGGGGGCTAACTGGTGTGCTGTGTAGTGTGAGGGGCAGGTGGGGAGACCTGGGGCGGGTGGGGGCGGAGCGAAGCTGTCCAGTCCCAGAAGGAGGCTGCTCCTGAGTGGGGGAGCAGGTGGTGCAGATGGCGGTCACTGCTCCTCCTCTGAGGACTCCGGCGACATGCCCTCCTCCTCCTCCTTCTCCTGCGAGGTGGGCAGGGCAGCGTGAGCTCGGCCCCTCCTCCTCCTCCCCTCCCCCTCTGGCCCCTCCCTGCACTCGCTGCTCTCCAGAAGGGGGATGAGTCAGGGCTGAGTGTGTGGGTGACTCAGCAACCTCCACGGCCAGCTTTCATTCATAAAACGGAAGAATTTAAAGGGAAAAGAAAAAACCACACACATGCTGCTCTCCAGGGCCAGGAGCAGGCCCCCTGCCCCAGGCTTATGGGGGCAGAGGGCATGGCCCAGCGCAGTGCTCAGCCCGGCCGACTGGCTCTCCAGGGCACGCGAGGGAAAGGGTGGCTGGGAGCCCTGTGGGCAGAGGGGACCGGGCGGCTTCGGCTCACAGGGGCCCACGGGGGCAGGTGCTACTATGGGGCTGGCCGGGGGCTGACCCCAGGCCAGGCCGGGGAGGAAGGGGAAGTGTGCCGCGGGCTCACTCACTGGACCGGAATGTCGGGACACCACAGTGGCCTCCAGCCCCGTGCCAGGCACAGACTCCAAAACAACTTGTTTCCTGTTACTCACTCCTGGGGCCTGGCCCCAGCCCCCCCAACCCCAGTGGTGGCTCAGCTCGAGGAATGAGGGCCTTGGGAGCTGAGGGGCAAGTTACCTCCCAGGAGCAGGAGCTGGGGTGTACCCCTAGAGGTGATCTGACTCAGCCCACCTACACCCACACCACAGCTATCTGGGGACCCAGAAAGGGTGGCGGGCGGCACCTCCCTGCAACAACTCCACTCCCAAGAGGCTGCTGGAATGGATGAACCTCCCCCTCCGTCCCCTGTGGCTTTCCTCCCTCACCTCCTCATCTGTGTGTGAGGGGGATGCAGGGACAGATCAGAAGATCCTGGGATGGAGACCAGAGGAAGCAACTGTGCTGAGACCGAGACCCTCCGGGGACAGCTCCTCTCCTGCTGCCCAACCTTTGGAAACCCCTTCCCTTCCCGCCCCGCGGCTGCCCGGTGCCCTGGGTGTTGGCTGCTCTCCCATGGTACGTGGATCAGATGCCGCGAGTCCCTAACACCCTCCCCACAAAGAGCCCCTTCACCTACCAGTTTTTTGGGTCTGCCCCTCGGTTTCCTCCCTGGAGCTGTGGTGGTTTTCTAGAGAATCAGAAGGTAGGCCCTGAGTCAAAGTGTCCACCAGCCAATGCCCTAGGTGGGGTGGGGGCAGACCCTACCTCTGTTCAGGCAGCCCCGAACTCTCACCCAGCAGGTCCACCCGAGGACGGCCGGTGGTGACTGGCCAGACACACGCCCCCCCAACACACACACGCACGCCCCCTACTCCCTCCTCCACCCATGACTCAGAGGATATGAGTCGTGCCTTAGAAAAAAAGTAAAATAAAAAACAAACTACTCTTCTGAAAAGCTGATGCCACTGTGGATCTGGCCTTTTCTCCTGTCCCCACCCCTTCGGGCTCTCAGGGAAGCCAGAGGAAAAGGTGTTCTCAGCCCGGAGGCTGCCGAGGCCCTTCTCCCCCACCTCCTTGCTCTCGCCAGGAGAGCAGGATCTCGGCCCAGATTTCCCCTTTACGCTTCGCAGGACCAAGCCCAGGGGGGACCAGACCCTGAGCTCGCATCCTTCACTCCCCATTCAGAATGGACCCGTTTCCACCTATGCCAGGGACGAAACCAAGACTAGCCAGCGCCTGTCCACACAGACCCCCCCCCAGGCTGTGGCCAGGAGGGAGCGACCTCTGCTGGCCACCTGTCCAGGAGCGGCCCCATCTCGAGCCTCACCCTGGTCTTCGCTGCACCCTTGTTTTTGCTTCCCTTCGGTCGGCCCCGAGGTCTCTTCGGTGTTGGCACTTCGCTGGGCTCCTTCTGCGAAGAAAGAGGGGGCAGTCAGGGACAGTCACCACCTGTCCCAGCTCCTTCAGAAAACCCAGTTCTCTGTCCCACCCAGTAACCCACTGGGACCGGCGCAGGCACGCCCTTCCGACTCAATGCCGGAAGCCTGACCAACTTTTTAAAGCCCCTCCTCATTTCACTGGGGGTTTCTGGGACAGAGAAATGACAAGAGGCTTGAAGACCCCTGGGAAGGGATCATGGGAGCAGAAAGGCACCTTTAGGCAGCTCTGACCAAGTCCCAGTGACGCCACCAATCCCGACCGAGCGCTTAACGCCAGAGCCTGTCACCTCACCTGTAAATGGCGAGACTGTGGTCTAGCAGTGGGCCATCTTTGCTCACCCCTCAGATGACCCACGCTGGGCCCATCAGGGAGACAGGACCCACCAGGGAGAGGACCCCCGCAAATTCTGACCCCGCCCAGGGAAGAGGAAGTAGTCCTGGACCCGAGAGGTCACTGCTACCAAAATACCAGTAAGCTCAAGACAGAATGGAAGGTTTTCATATGGGGGCCAGCAGGTGGCGTGGTAGGTAAGGTGCTGAGACTCCCACGGGGCCAACCACGGTTTGAGTCCCTGACCCAGCACTTGAAACTCATGCCGGGTGCACGTGTGACCAAAATCCCAGGAGAATGCAGAAGGGACTGCAGCATGGCCACCCCCTGGGGAGGTGATTTCTTACTTTCTCTGTCTCTCCAGTGAGCACATGTGCCCTATGGCAAATAACTTTAAAAAATAAATAAATAAAAGCTTCTGCATTAACGCAGGGAGTCTGAGCTGCAAAGGCATGGCATCCCGGTCCCCGGGGATGGCTGCCTGTGGGTTCTCAGAACCATGCCCAGTAGCCACCTGGCCAGCAGTGGGGCAGGGCAGGGCTGGGCTCGGAGGATGAGCCTCTAAGGCTAGGGTTTGAAAGTGGCTGCCCAATTCCACAGACCCCCTCACAGCCCCCGAGACCACTCTAGACAGGGAAGGCCTACAGACCTGACAACCTGCCCAGTGTTTAGGGGCAAAGGTCAACCTCAATTCCTTTCCTAGTGTCTCCTCTTCCTTAGTAAAGGGGGCTAACTGGGTTTGAGACAGCTGTCTCTGTGAGTAGCCAAATCTCCCCCTTGTAACAGGTGGGCCTCCGTACGCCTGCTGGCCATGCCCCACCGCTGCAAAGGCCAGGCTGCCGGCCTCGCCCCACATGAGACCTTCTGTGGGGAGCAGCACCAGGGTTCGGAGGCTTGATGTCACCGACTCCCCAATACTCCCAACCTCCCGGGCTTCTTCAATGTCCATTTACAGAGCCAGCAGCAAAGCCCCTTCTAGAACTTCTTGAAGTACAGTCTGTAAACAGGTGCCCAGGACGCTTGTTACCAGCCCGGGATGAGGAAGTATCTAGAAACTTCCATAGCAGGTGGAGAGTAATTTTATATGTAATGATTAATACCAAGCTTTTATGTATATATATTTTCATCTTTGTTAACCCCATCTTTGCTGTATTTTATAAAACCCTAGCCCACAGCGGACTGGAAATTAAGGAAAGGCAGGCAGCTTAGCACTGTATAAGAACCAGCCTGCACGACCTCCAGGTAACTTCTGGCCTGGGCTTTCTGACATGGATGGTGTCAGAAATCACCCAGTTCTCTCCTGGGGTCTCTGAACAATCTGGCCAGGGTCTCGGGCAGGGTTTGAACACTCAGGGTGTGGGGCGGACACACGTGCAGGAGTGATTCCGCACCCCTCCCCAGCCCTAAAGGGTAAGCTAGGGTAAAGGTTGACACCCACCTGGCTCCCTACCAGCGCCGTCCCGGGACTCACCGGAGGCTGCTTACGCGGCCTGCCCCGGCCCCGTTTCTCAGTGCCGTCCTTCTCCTGCTTGGAGGCCAAGGGCTGGCTGGACTTCGCGCTCGACTCGCTCATCTTCCCTTCACTGCGGAGCAGGTGGAAGAGCGACAGCTGGGATGCTGCGAGACAGAGACAGGGTCAGGGGCAAGACATCTGGTCCAGCCACGCTGACCCCTGACCACCCTGTAGCCAACTGCTCCTGGTGGCCCCCCCCCAGGACCCTGGCCTGCCCACCCCAACATGCTGCTACAGGGTGGGGTAGGGCCGTTGGCCCTAATCAGCTCCTTATCTCTTCTCCAGAAGGGCTCTTTGTTGTCCTGCCCACACCGCTGCCACCCCCACAGGGCCCAGGTGGCCCACAGGTACAGCCAGCCCAGACCTGGCTACATGGGTGAGGCTGCCTGCCCCAGGGCAGAAGTGTGGGCGAGGTGGGGTCTGACCCACTGCCAGGGCCCCTCCCTCTGTAGTCAGCCGCTGCCCTTTCTGTACTAAGAAAAAAATCAAGACTGGGTAGCTCAGAGGGGACTAGGGTGGACGTGCAGACTGCAGGTGGGCCCTGGCCACCTCTCTGCTGGTACAGCCTCAGTGTTAAGGCCTGAGGCTCAGGACCAAATGCTAAAGGGCTCCCTCCACCCACCAGCTCCCCGCCAGGCCCTCTCCTTGAGGATTCAGAGAGCGGGCAATCGATGGTAGAAGGGAAAGATGGTTGAAGTTGTGATGGGGGTGAGGTGGCAGAAAAGGGGTGCTCTCTCCCACTGTCCCCTCTCCGCCTACCTAGAGTCAGATGAGATCCTTTTTTTTTTTTTTTGGGGAGGTTTTTGCTGTAGGGCAATTGCACTCACCAGAAAGACAAGAGATAGAAAGTGAGAAATCACCCCCCAGGGGGGATGGCCACACCGCAATCCCTTCTCCATTCGCCTCTCAGGATCTTAGGCACGCATGCACACGCACCCCATGCGCCCGGCGTGAGTTTAAGCCACCACCGGGTCCGGGACTCGAACTGCGGTCCGCTATATGGGAGTCCAGCGACGTGGCTGTTACGCCCGCCAACTGCTGGTCCCATGAGATCTTTTTTGATGTTAAGTCTGGACAGACAGGGAAGCCTGCACCTGAGGTGGACCTCCTAACAGAGGCCAGCTGGCCTCCCTGGCAGAACTGATCCTGCAAATTTCTTGGTCCTTTTCTAGCAACTTCCTTCTCAAAAGCCTGGTGGGTTTTAATTAGCCCCCCCTGATTTTGAAATGACCTAAAACTGCAAGGTGCATCTGGACCCTACACTCGGAATCTCTCTGAGAGCCTTCAAAGTCAGTGAGGGACCTCCTCGTCCTCATCCCAGACCTCCCAGAGCTCCACGAGAGACCTCTGCCCGCCTCAGTAAACAGTGAGCCCACGTGGCTCCACTTCTGAAAACCTCTTCTCCATCCGCAAAATGGGAGTAGCGAGAGGGCACCTGCCTCAACTGCCTCTCCAGGCTGCTTCAAGAATCTAAGTTAATGGTTTAAAAAAAGGGGGAGGAAGGAGGCGAGAATCTCTCTAATCATAATGACTAAACCATTTGAAAAGTAGCTCTTTCCCCTGTTCAAATTTTTGAGACAACTCCCCATGCTAACCCAGTGAGAAAAAAAAAATTTTTGTCAACTTTTGATTTTTGGAGGACCCTGAGGCCCCCATCCTCAAGCAACAAGAGACCCTCCAGACGGCGGGACTTTGGTTAATTATTCTATTTTATAATATTTCAGACTTGGAGACCCTTTTAAACAAGGCGGTTGGTGATTTATCCTGCTCCGTCATTAGTGGCTTGGCCTACTCTGTAATTACAGGCTGTGATTAGAATCTTCTATTACACCACAGGTCCCCCTTCAAACTAAACATCAAAATTAATCAGCTAAATGAGCGCTGACCTCACACAAGGCCTGCCTGAGGCCCCCTCATTGAGGGGGTTCCAGTTGGGCGAAGCCAGCCCCAAATCCCGGAGAGCCTGGGGATCTTGGCGGGTCTCCTTGGAAGCTCATACCATCTGGTGCCTCCCCCACCTCTTGCTGCTGGGGACCCTTTAATCCACCCACCCTTCTCCCCCTCCCAGGCAGGCCCCCACGAACTGAATGAAGGCCTGAGGCCCTCTCCAGCGAGGCCAAGAAATGCTGTCTCTTCCACCTGTTTCCAAACATCAGGGAGGCCTGGCTTGGAAAAGCCACATTTAGGGCCCAGCCCCAACCCCTCGGTTTGTAATCCGCCCTTCTCAGGGCTCAAGCCTGTCTCCTCCACACGGTGCATACAGCGTGTGCTCTGCGAACGCTTAAAGGCTCTGCAGGAATAACCTTAGGAAATCATCTAGCAGCTCCCTTTAAAAAAAAACACAAATGAAAGTAGCCCAGAGAAGCCTGACGAGTTGCCCAAGGTCACACAGCAAGTCGGAGAGCACGATGGAGTAGGATCATGGCTACTTTTCCAGCTCGCCACTTTCCTTACTCGCCTAAGAGCTGGTTAAGACCTCGCTGCCCTGTTCCGGACCCAGGGTGACTCTGCAAGTGTCTGCGCGGGCCGTTGGAGGCGGCCGGCGGGACGAGGGGCCAGGGCACGCGGGGGGAGGGGCACGCGCCGCTCTCGCAGGCGCGGGAAAGCAGCGCACCCCGACCGCATGCATCGCCACGAGGGTGCACCCGGCCCCACTTCCTGCCAGAGGGGGCACCCAAGCCCGCCTCGGGGCAGGAAACCTGGCGCGCGTTGGCGCTGGGGAGAGGAAGAAAGCCCCTTCCCTCGTGCCCTCCCCACAAAATAAAATCCCAGGAAAAAAAAAAGAAACGGGGAGTCAAAGGGACTAGTTCCAACAGAGCCCAGCAAAGCAGAGAAACCAGTTTGTGGGGGCGGAGGGCAGGCCCGGCCCTGGGGGCTGAAGAGACGCGGACCGGGCCAGGCCAGAGGTGGGGTCGGGGGTGAAGCCCCAAACCCAGGCCTGAGATCCGGCCTCTTCTGCGAAGGGGACACCAGGAGAAAGGCCGCGAGGGGACAGGAACGAATTTCGGGGTTCTCGCCCATCCCCCTCACTTCCAGAACTTCCCGGGGATGCCCGACCCCTCACTCCCCCGCTGCGCCGCTGCCGGTCCCTCTCCCCGCCCC